TCAGATTCTTTGTACCTAATCTTAGCTTGACAATTTAGTTTTTTACCTTTTTTTTTTTTTTTTTTTGCTTAATGCTCTTCCCAAAAGACAGAGTCTGAAATGCCTTCTGTTTGAAGTATAGGTTTTTATGGACACTTGTATTAAATCCTTTCTCTCCAAATAGACAAACAAATCAAACACAACTTATCTACAAATGGCAGAGAAATTCTGTTTCCTGCTATAACGTTTAACAACAGATGTTAAACCCATTTCTTGTAGTTTGGAGATACTGTTTGTTTCAAGCGTTCGGTTGTCCAATATGACATTCTTCAATATTGTAAGAGCAAAGTTCAATTTCTCCAGCTGGTACCACTTCTCTATAGCTTAAAATACACAGTCTGCTGACAGTGCACAAGACCCATTCCCCTCCCAAGAAATAGCACAGTGATTAAAACATGAGCTTTGGACTCTGCCTTCCTTGGAGTCTGGATTGCACCACTCAATAGTTCTGTCTTCATTTTTCTCCATCTGTAAAACGAGGAGAAAAATGGAACCCACAGTTCAAGGCTATTGTGAAGATCAAATGAAAGCCTGCATGAAAAGCTTATGGCACAGTGCCTGAGCACATAGACAACCTTTAATACACATTAGCTACTGATACGGGTGATTATTCTTTGATATCTTGGTTAGTCATGCCCCATAGCAAAGAGATGACATGACTTCCAAGATCCTTTGTGGCTAAACTCTCCTATGTCAATTCTCAAGGTTTCTTTTCTTTCTTTCTTTCTTTCTTTCTTTCTTTCTTTCTTTCTTTCTTTCTTTCTTTCTTTTTCTTTCTTTCTTTTTTTATTCATTCAAGACACAGAGATACAGAGATAGAGAGAGAGAACATGAGCAAGGGGAAGCAGAGGGAGGGGGAGAAGCAGGCTCCCCGCTGAGCAGGGAGCCCGATGAGGGGCTCGATCCCAGGATCCTGGGATCATGACCTGAGCCAAAGGCAGACGCTTAACCAACTGAGCCACCCAGGCGCCCCTCAAGGTTTATTTCTAATCCTCTTCTTCAGGACAAGGCTATAACCTACTTTGCCTCTTTCTGTTCTTCCCTTGATTTCCTCCACTTCTATCTCCAACAAAATCAAGCAAAGAAGAATATGGCTTGATTAAAATTGTGGAGGTGAGATTTTTCTCTTACTTACCTTTATCCGGGCACAAAGGAGCATTTTTGCTGTTACTGGTTTTTTTAAAGTCAAACATAAGCTGGATCTAAAATTATAAGAAAGGAGAATGTGGGAAGCCCTTCCCTCTTTTCATGATAAAGGCAGCATATACCGGCCTCTCCAGACTTCAGGGAGAGAACTAAGTAAATGGTGTAACCCACTTCTCTAGGTCTCATTTGCGCTGAAGGCTTAAGGGATAGCCAAATTACCTATCAAGACTAGACGGGTAGTTTCCAAAGTTAGTTAGAACCTCAAGCTCATGACTGTCCTCTCTGATAAGTCAATAAGCATTTATTTACTAAGTAAATCAGAACTATTTTGAAAATCTAAAGCAGCTGAAGCAAGGAAAATGCTGCATTTCTGGGAAGCTGCGCTTTTTGAACTCCTGAAAGGTAAAAAGAAAGCAAGAAAAAGGGCTCTTTTGAAAGACCAAGTAGATTAAGTAATTGTGCTGGCTTCTTAGGATTGCCCTGGATTTAGGTGTAGGATGTCTCCTACCCTGGGAAACCCCCTCAGGCTTGGGCACACTGGGACATTTGGTTACCCCAAAATACTTGATTAAGCTGTGGTCGATAAAACTAAAATTCAGTGCAAAAGGGTACTTAGATGATTTTCCAAATTAAGCATTTTTAATATAAATAGATTCATATAAATACAAACAGGAAGAGCATAATGACTAAATATTTTCATAAGAAGCTATCCGTATAGCTTATAGATATCCGTACATCCCAGCAAGTCCTAGCAGGTTTGTCCAAGTACTTGTCATAGTGGGTCATTTTATAGCACTTACTCTAATTGCAAACTTGATTCCTACTAGTAAATAATTAGCCTTTATAAGGCTCTTTTTGAAAACCCCGAACTTAACGTGACACCAAATATCCTATGGGCCAAGAAGGCAGAAAATTTCCTAAGGGAGTTGCTTACCGTTTTTCACAATGGGAGGTCAGGAAGGAGAAAGGGTAAGTTCACCTTTAGGAAGCAATGCTGTTGGTGCGGTGGGGATGCAAGCCAGATCATGGGGCCCAAGGAGGGAACCAGTGGAGAGGAGCCTGACCACTGGCTTCAGACCACTTATGTAAGACACTTGACAGGGCAAAGAAGTAAAGCAGTGAGACAATAGCTAGGGGGTTAGCAAGGTCAAGAGAAAAATCCGTCAAGCTGGAGGAGGGGCACCTGGGTGGCTCAGTCTTTAAGCGTCTGCCTTCGGCTCAGGTCATGGTCCCAGGGTCCTGGGATCGAGCCCCGCATCGGGCTCCCTGCTCCACGGGAAGCCTGCTTCTCCCTCTCCCACTCCCGCTGCTTGTGTTCCCTCTCTCGCTGTCTCTCTCTCTGTCAAATAAATAAATAAAATCTTAAAAAAAAAAACAAAAAACGGAGGAAAGTTGAGTTTGTTGAAAACACAGTGAAAGAAACCAGAGCTTACTTGGAGCTTAGCGAGTTGCTAGGCTTAGCAGGGGGGATGAGAGGGGTACCACTGCCCCCAGGGCCATTTAGACGATTACTGACAGACATTTAAATAGAAGACTCTTGCTTGAGTGCCCAGGATCCTCTCCTCTAGCAAGCCACTTCTTTAAGGCCTTGCTTAAGACCCAGCCTCCTCAAGTATGCTCTCCCATTCCCCAAAATGACTGAAAGGACTGGTGCCCAAGCAGAGTCTGCGCTCTGGGAGGAAGCCCATCTGCATGGAATGTTATTATAATCATGGCAGCCCCCAAAATGAAAACAACTTCAGAGTAAGAAAAATAGGTCAATGAAAAGATTTGGAAACTTTATAGATTAGGTCCATGACATTAAACATCGAAGGCAAGAAAATTTTGAATAATCAGAATCCCTCTACTCCAGACTGAGATGATTTGCCCTTTGCTTTTAGGAAAACCCTAACGTGTGGGGGCATCCCTACCTTTTGCAGGGCCTGGTATGAATGGGGGTGGGAGGCTGGAGGAATCCTTGAGCAATTTGATCTCCCAAGAACTTCCTTCAGGACCCAGCTCAGCTCTCCTTGTTCACTACCCACATTTCACCTGTGGCAATGGGAGCTTCTGGGACCAGCCTGGCCCCAGGAGCATCCTCCAGTTACAAGGTGTGGGACCAAGGCTGGATAACCATCCCTGGGGCAGATTTCCAGACGGAGATGTCCGGCAGCTCTCTCTGAAGAGACAAACTATTACTACTGAAATAACCGCACCAAATATGGGTCCCCGAATGACAACAAGCTCACGTGAAGGGAAAGCAACTGTGCGCTCGGTGGTGCAGTTAACCAATCACATTTAGTCTTGCGTCTCTGAAAACTATTTGCTTCAGCATTAACCAGTTTAGAAGCAGTGATGGAGGCGACATCCAGACACCTAATAGGTTTCCAGGTTCTGGTAAATTCTGAAGAAATTATTTATTTAGTGTAGATGTGATCCGAAGGAAACGTCCTCACAGAGGAAAAATAAACCTTAAAACTGAGCATCATTTTCTTGAACTAACAGCAAAAGAACTGTACAATGGGGATATGGGATTTGTTTCACGGCGTTGTTGTGAGGATAAATGGGCTACCCCATATCAAAAGCCCTGGCATCGCGTGCCCCCCAGCCCCAACCCCCACAGCGAAGCCGGCAAGAAGCCTGCTCAAAGCCTTTCCCAGGGGAGCTGAGGACGTCTGTCTCAGTCGGTCTGGCACAAAATAGAGCCTCAGTAAATATTTACCAAATGAATTAATGGTTGCCTGCTCTAGTCCTTCTTTTGTTTAGTCACACTCTCGTTCTAAGCTCCTACAATGAAACCCAGGCCCCTGAATTCTGCCCGTTCCATTCCGGCGTGGACGTAGGGTCAGTGGAACGAGAAGGGCTGTAAAGAAGGAGTAAGGGAAGCCAGCGGATCCGACACAAGAGGGAAGAGAAAGAAATCCTTAAAGGCGGAGGGCCAACAAAGAGCCAGAAGCAGGCGCACCGCGGCGGGACAACGCCGAAGCTCCGCTGCGCAGCCGGCGCCTGGCTCCCCGCTCGCGTCCCGACAAGCGCAGGGCACGGTCCGGGCACGCACCCGCCCCGGGCGCTCTCAGCCCCGCAGCCGCCGCTCGCCAGCGGCTCCCGCCCCCGGGGCGGTGCCGGGAACACGCGGCGCCTCCGCCGGTCACGTGGGGGCCGCTCCGCCGGGCGGCGCTGCCGCTTCCCGATCGCGCCCTCCCAGTGCCGGGGACGCGGCGCTCGCGCTCCCGCCCGAGCCCGGGGAAGCGGAGACAAGGAGGCGCCGCCGCCGCCGCCGCCCGCCCCCCACCCCCACTCCTCCCGGCTGCGCCCCCGGCCCTGCGCCCGCAACATGCCGGCCGCCGAGCCGCGCGCCGCCCTCCTCCAGGGGCTCACGGAGGCGACGACGCTGCCGGCTGCTCGGCCGCGGCGGCGGGGGTAGCGGGGCCGGAGTGGGCACCGAGGCGCCGCCGCGAGGCGGGCAGAGCGGGAGGAGGAGCAGCTGGCATCCTCCGCGGCGCGGCGGGCGGCGGCCCTGCTGCCCCGGCGCGCCCATGGCCCGGGAGCAAGGAGAATGCGAGCTGCACTGTCCGCCGGCCGCCGCCGCCGCCGCCTCCCCCGCCGCCGCCTCCCCCCGCGCCGCGCGCTCGGCGCCCCCCGGAGCTGCTCGCGTCGCCGCCGCCCCCCAGCTGCGGGCGCCCGGCCGCTGGCTGCGCTAGGAGCCTCGGCCGCCGGTCGCCGAGGGCTGGTGGGAAGGCAGGAGCGAGAGGGCCCGGGAGACTGGCGCCCGCGCGGGCGCAGCGCGGCATGTAGCTGCGGGCGCCCGCGTGTGGGTGTCGGCTCGGGGCCCCGCCATGGCTGGGAAGGACAGTGGGCACCTGAAGACGGTGAGGCTGTGGCGGGACGCCGCCCTGCGCGCCAGGAAGCTGCGGAGCAACCTGCGCCAGCTCACGCTCAGCGCGGCCGGGGGCTGCCCGGGGGCGGGCGCCGAGCAGCTCGACTGCCCCGACGCCCCCCAGCTCGTGCTGCCGGCCAACATCGGGGACATTGAGGTGCTGAACCTGGGGAACAACGGCCTGGAGGAGGTGCCCGACGGGCTGGGCTCGGCGCTGGGCAGCCTGCGCGTCCTGGTCCTGCGCAGGAACCGCTTCGCCCGGCTGCCCCCGGCCGTGGCCGAGTTGGGCCACCACCTCACCGAGCTGGACGTGAGCCACAACCGGCTGACCGCCCTGGGCGCGGAGGTGGTGAGTGCCCTGCGGGAGCTGCGCAAGCTCAACCTCAGCCACAACCAGCTGCCCGCCCTGCCCGCCCAGCTGGGTGCCCTGGCCCACCTGGAGGAGCTGGATGTCAGCTTTAACCGGCTGGCACACCTGCCCGACTCCCTCTCCTGCCTCTTCCGCCTGCGCACGCTCGACGTGGACCACAACCGGCTCACTGCTTTCCCCCGGCAGCTGTTGCAGCTGGCGGCCCTGGAGGAGTTGGACGTGTCCGGCAACCGGCTGCGGGGCCTGCCTGAGGATATCAGTGCCCTGCGCGCCCTCAAGATCCTCTGGCTGAGTGGCGCCGAGCTTGGCACCCTGCCCAGTGGCTTCTGCGAGCTGGCCAGCCTCGAGAGCCTCATGCTAGACAACAACGGGCTGCAGGCGCTGCCCGCCCAGTTCAGCCGCCTGCAGCGACTGAAAATGCTCAACCTCTCCTCCAACCTGTTTGAGGAGTTCCCTGCCGCGCTGCTGCCCCTGGCTGGTCTGGAGGAGCTCTACCTTAGTCGCAACCAGCTCACCTCGGTGCCATCCCTTATCTCGGGCCTGGGCCGGCTGCTCACCCTCTGGCTGGATAACAACCGGATCCGCTATCTGCCCGACTCCATCGTGGAGCTGACCGGCCTGGAGGAGCTGGTGCTGCAAGGGAACCAGATCGCCGTGCTGCCCGACAACTTTGGCCAGCTCTCCAGGGTGGGCCTGTGGAAGATCAAGGACAACCCGCTGATCCAGCCCCCCTACGAGGTCTGCATGAAGGGGATCCCCTACATTGCCGCCTACCAGAAGGAGTTGGCCCATTCCCAGCCTGCCGTGCAGCCCCGCCTCAAGCTGCTCCTGATGGGCCACAAGGCTGCGGGGAAGACCTTGCTCCGTCACTGCCTCACTGAGGAGAGAGTGGAGGAACACCAAGGAGGAGGGGACAAGGAAAAGAGCTACCCCCCTTCCGCTCCTCCTGTGAGCAAAGGCATCGAGGTGACCAGCTGGACGGCTGATGCTTCCCGGGGACTGCGGTTCATCGTGTATGATTTAGCTGGTGATGAGAGTTACGAGGTGATCCAGCCCTTCTTCCTCTCCCCAGGAGCCCTCTACATGCTGGTGGTGAACCTGGCCACCTATGAGCCACCCCGCTTTCCCACCACCGTGGGCTCCTTCTTGCATCGGGTGGGGGCCCGCGTGCCCCATGCCGTGGTGTGCATCGTGGGCACGCACGCAGACCTGTGTGGGGAGCGGGAGCTGGAGGAGAAGTGCCTGGACATTCACCGCCAGATCGCCCTGCAGGAGAAGCATGATGCAGAGGGGCTGAGCCGGTTGGCCCAGGTGGTGGACGAGGCACTGGCCCGGGACTTTGAGCTGCGCTCCGCCAGCCCCCATGCAGCCTACTATGGGGTTTCAGACAAGAACCTTCGGCGGCGCAAGGCCCATTTTCAGTACCTGCTCAACCACCGGCTGCAGATCCTCTCCCCGGTGTTGCCTGTTAGCTGTAGGGACCCTCGCCAGTTACAGCGGCTTCGGGACAAACTGCTCTCAGTAGCGGAGCACAGGGAGATCTTCCCCAATTTACACAGAGTACTGCCTCGGTCCTGGCAGGTGCTGGAGGAACTGCACTTCCAGCCGCCTCAGGCACAGCGACTGTGGCTCAGCTGGTGGGACTCGGCCCGCCTGGGCCTGCAGGCGGGTCTGACCGAGGACCGGCTGCAGAGTGCCCTTTCTTACCTGCATGAGAGCGGCAAGCTGCTCTACTTTGAGGACAGCCCCGCCCTCAAGGAGCACGTCTTCCACAACCTCACCCGCCTCATCGACATCCTCAATGTCTTTTTCCAGAGGGATCCTTCCTTGCTGCTGCACAAGTTGCTCCTAGGGACCAGCGGTGAGGGCGAGGGCGAGGGCGAAAGCGCCCCAGCGATGGCGACGCCCACCCCGGGCCAGGAACTGCTCCGGGCCACCCAGCTCCATCATTACGTGGAGGGCTTTCTGCTTCACGGGCTCTTGCCAGCCCATGTCATTCGGTTGCTGCTGAAGCCTCACGTCCAGGCCCCGCAGGACTTGCAGCTGTTGCTGGAGCTGCTGGAGAAGATGGGACTCTGTTACTGCCTCAATAAACCGAAGGGCAAGCCCTTGAATGGGTCCACGGCTTGGTACAAGTTCCCGTGCTACGTGCAGAACGAGGTGCCCCATGCAGAGGCCTGGATTAATGGGACCAACCTGGCCGGGCAGTCTTTTGTGGCTGAGCAGTTGCAGATCGAATATAGTTTCCCCTTTACCTTTCCACCTGGTCTGTTTGCACGCTACAGCGTCCAGATCAACAGCCACGTGGTGCACAGGTCGGATGGGAAACTTCAGATCTTTGCATATCGAGGGAAGGTTCCCGTGGTGGTCAGTTACAGACCTGCCAAGGGGGTCCTGCAGCCAGACACTCTGTCCATTGCCAGCCACGCATCCTTACCAAATATATGGACGGCATGGCAAGCCATAACCCCCTTAGTAGAGGAACTGAATGTCCTACTTCAGGAATGGCCTGGACTGCACTACACCGTGCACATTCTCTGTTCTAAGTGCCTTAAGAGAGGGTCGCCCAATCCACACGCTTTCCCAGGTAAGTGGGGAGAGGGATGTGGCTCTTCTGTGGCAATGGTTTAAGATGCATTTTTTGAAGATACTTGTTTTTCATTTATTTGATTATTTGCTTAACCTCACAGGTTCCCCAGGAGAGTTTTCCAGGGCAAATACAAGGCAGGTGGGGGGATAAGCAAAAAAGACAGTAAATACATGAGCAAAATGAAATGGTCCCCAGTATCATACTCTCCTAATAAAAAGACCTAGACTTCAAACGTGGTTTCCAGTCCCACTTTTGGATTTTGGATCTCCTTTCCCTTTTCCAGCTGAGCCTACCTTTCATGGAAGGAATTTCAGCCGGTTGAACAGAAGATGGGTCGCATCTGACATGAGCCTCGCGCTGAGCACTGGGTTATTGGCGCATCTTAGACACATCTCCGAGGGGTGCTCTCAGCTTGGGATGTCATTGTCACCATCTTTTGTTTGAATTCAGTGTAATCATAACGTAAACATTATTGCTCAATTTTCTTAGGAAATTCTAGAGAAGAATGTTTTGTAATCAGGGTGAATGATGGATTAGTAAGGACAAAAATTTCAATCTGAAATGCATGACTAAGTGCTGGGATCACAGTTACCCAGCACACTGGAAGGCAGGGAGGAATGGATTACTGAAATCTCTCAGGGGAGTTTCCTGGGTATTTCCTGCCAATTTCGTGCTTTATAGAGGTCTAAAAGTTTGCTTTTTGCTAAGTGTTAGTGGAGCTTTTTGGTAATATTTTGTAGGAGACGGAAGGGACAAAAAGCTGACAAGAGTTTTGTGTGTGTGTTTTCCTTTTTCTCTTTTGGGGAATGTTTTGCAACAGACTTTTTTCTGTTTCACTTTTTTAAACCATTATAGTTGAGTGGGTGAATTCCAGGACTAGTAGTCTGGGATTTTCTGAGCTAGGTTAATTGATATCCTAAGTCTTTAGTTGGGAATGTGTCCATTTCTCACCCTGGAGCATTCTTTAAAGAACTCTGATTTTGGGGGTGCAGGCATGGTTAACAACATTCCAAGTGACCTGAGGACAAGGCCCAGTGATAGCATCATGGCCAGTTTTTCCCCTCGGTCCCCACCCCCAGGGTGCATTGAGCGGTGCTGAAATGAAAGACTGCAGGCCACTCTGATCTTTGTCCTAGTCTGAATGCAGCTCATAATAGTATCAGGAAGCAACTGGACACCAGTATTTCCACGGGTAACATCTTCCTGTTGCCCTAGATCTAGACTGAGTTTAATTCTCCAGCTTGAAAAAAGCCGCCATATTCAGTTACCAGTCAATTGAGCTGTCCATTGTGAGTGATTATCTGGTGTCTTGTCATTGTCTGTGACTTGGTAGACTCTAGTTTGTTTTATATTTGCCTTTGTACCTTATTCACGAAAGCAAATACTTCTTTATTATGTTACTAGATTGAATAAAGTGGTTAGGAGTTACATAGTCACAGAGTCACTTAGTGAAGGAGCTACCTACAGCTGATTCATAATCTAAAGATGGAGCATTAATACATCTGTTATTATCAACAAAGGAAAGGACCCAGATTATTGGACAAGTAGAGATCTGTGTAGGGGAATTCCAAAAACTTTGAGGAGTAAACCACAAGGCCGGAATTTTTTTTTCTAACCTCAGCTCTTTACTTTTTATTTTTAACAGTCGTGAATTCCACCAACAAACATGTGCCATGCTATAGACACTGAGAGACCATTCTCTTGCTATTGTTTTGCCTGTTTGTCTTTCAAAGGAGGCACACCTGGTTTGCAATCTAGGCTGTAAGGAAAAGATGATTTTCTCAGTGTAAAAAACAGATAAATGGTTGAAAATTGTCAAATTATCTTATATATCGAGTAGGAATGAGTCATTAGTTGTTTTTACAACAGAGATTGTGCATTTTTGTCTTATTTATGGTCAAAGAACTAATTTATCTTTTTTGCTTCATTTAGGGTTATATTTCTTTGAAAAGTAGCAGAGGGCACAGAGTAGTGGAATAAAGATGATTGAGGTACATTCGTGACATTAAGAAGACAGGGAAGTAACTGGATGGTGACAGATGTTAACTAAATTTAGCGTCACAATCATTTTGCAGTGTACACAGATATTGAATCCTTATGTTATTTATCTGAAACTGATATATGTTAAATACATCTCAGTAAAAAAAATAAGTAACAGAAAATGGGAAAAAACACATTTTTCTCTTTCAGATGTTTCTGTAACAGCCATCATTTGATAGTATTTATCACAATTCTGAAAGATTTGGAAGAGCTAAAATACTAAATAACTAGAAGGCAGTGTAGGAACAGAATTACAATGTTGAATGTTCCGTTAGTTAGGGCATACATTTAAAAATATGTTTGAGTCCCTAGGTTATTATTTTTTTAATATTTATTTATTTGACAGAGAGAGAGAGAGAGAGAGCACAAGCAAGGGGAACAGCAGAGGGAGAGGGAGAAGCAGGCCCCGTGCTGAGCAGGGAGCCCGACGTGGGGCTCGATCCATGACCTGAGCCAAAGGCAGGCACTTAACCGACTGAGCCACCCAGGTGCCCCTGAGTCCCTAGGTTATTAAAATGTATTTTCAGCCAGCAGAAGCCTTTGAATCTTTTGATAGCCTTTTTAAGAGGTCATTTTGTATTTTAGAGACATTGAAACAATTTGTTACTTAGTTTTACATTCAATTAAAGTATCAAGTTCCCGGGACACCTGGGTGGCTCAGTCGGGTAAGGTTAAGTGTCTGCCTTTGGCTCAGGTCATGATCCCAGAATCCTGGGATCGAGTCCCACATCGGGCTCCTTGCTTGGTGGAGAGCCTGCTTCTCCCTCTACCTGCTCTGCCTGCCGCTCCCCCTGCTTGTGCTCTCTCTCTCTGACAAAAAAATAAATAAAATCTTTAAAAAAAAAAAAAGTAAAGCATCAAGTTCCCTCGCAAACTATTTTTTTAAAAGATTGTATTTGTTTGTTTGAGAGAGTGCGCACCAGTGGGGGAGGGGCAGAGGGAGAGGCAGATTCCCTGCTGAGCAGGGATCCGATGTGGGGCTTGATCCCAGGATCCTGAGATTATGACCTGAGCTGAAGGCAGATGCTTAGCTGACTGAGCCACCCAGGTGCCCCCAAATTGGTACTTTTTAATAAAAATGACTTGAGCAAAAAGCTGTCAGAGAAATTTGAGACCCATTAAAATTAAGTTTACTGGGGGGGAAAATATTCATTTATTTTTTTCAGTGGTGAAAAAGTGGATTTTTAATTTTTTCAACTTTAGGACATTAAAATAAAAATAATTATCAAATTACTATGTCCCTTGATTTTATACAGAAGAAATGTAAAGTTGCATTACTATCTTTAAAGATGTTTTGGGGGGTGGGGGGGTGAGGAGCCTGATTGGTCCTGTTCAATGTCAAAAGGACACTGCATTTTCTGGCCTGAGTTGCACTCATGCAGTTGGCCTAGAGAGATATAATGCTGGATTTCTCTTTTTTGATTTTGGTTTACAAAAGGAGTGTGACCACTTGGTTTTAATAGTTCTAGTGAGGGCGCCTGGGTGGCTCAGTCGGTTAAGCATCTGCCTTTGGCTCACATCATGATCCCAGGACCCTGGGATCGAGAGCCCTACCTTGGGCTACCTGCTCAGCGGGGAGTCTGCTTCTCTCTCCCCCTCTGCCCCTCCCCCCTGCTCTTGCTCTGTCTCTCAGTTAAATAAATAAAAATCTTAAAAAAAAATTCTAGTTAAAAAAGATCTCCTCATGTTGTTAGATTATTTATCAGATTTAAGCCGAAAAGGTTGTGTGACAAAGAGATGCTTTTGGAAACTCAGAAGAGGTTAGACAGAGCCTGAGTGTCAGGTGTGTGTGTTTGCCTGCTTTCTCCAGGTACTGTCCTCCTGCCAGTTTCTTTCAGCCAGGCGGCATCCTCCTTATTTGGGATGTTCTTGTCCTAGAGTAAGTTTCTTCTGGTGGAATATTTATTTATGCTTTTGTTCTTTTCTACCAATAGGGCATCTAGACCAGAAGAGCTGAACACTCCTGAGGTTGGATGATGTTGTGGCATATTGAGTCAGATGTGGAAGCTTGGATATAGGTCCGAGCAAGATGCCAGTCCTTCAATAATTCCATTCAAGGGATGGAATGAGGGAGGTGTGTTTTTAAATTGAAAGAGTGGGTCTTAGTGAGTTGAACTTGGCTTGCATGTGATTTTTCACTAAATATCCTACTCTCCAAATCATTAAAGGTTGTTTTTTTAGGAATAATTAGGAAGCAACCCAAAGCAGTAGGCAGAGAATTAGCATATGGTCGCCGTTATATTTGGTCTCTTTCGTTCACTCGGTGACTTGATGCCTTTCTCTGTCTCCTGAGTGCCTTTTGCCCTTGTTCCATTTCTTGTACACTGTGTACCTCTGAGGCATTCAGCATATTCTGCCTCGCTCTGTTGGTGTTTCTGGATGTCATACTATCTCTTTGATTAGGTTGTTCACTCGCTTCGTCTGAGCAGGAGACCCGCCTGAGGCTTTGTGGCTTTTGTAAGAGCTCAGATGTTTGCTGAATGATTGTTTGGTCTTTTGTGAGAAATACCTTTTTTTTTCCTTTGTTATTCACATACTCTGTCAAATTCCCAGGTGGCCCAGTAGTGATCATCTTGCTTTGTCCTGTGTCCCAACTTCCCTCTTCCACCCCGCAAATGTCCCTCTGGTGTTTCCATTGTGTTTGTATTACTGGTCTTTCCCTTGAATGGGCCCTTCATTTTGACCACTGAAGCAAAGGAGAATTCTTGCCTTATTATAGCTCAGTTTTAGAGTTACTGGAATTTGAGCATGACCTAGTTGTTTGGATTGAATTAGTCATTGTTTTTAATTTCACAAAGGTTATTAAATATCTTTTTTAGTTTAGCTTTATTAACATTGATGCCTCTTGGCTTTTATTTTGTGAACAGCCCTCTTTGAACTCTCGTGGGCTTTGTTTCATATAAAAATCAAAACCTTAATCATGCAGTGGGAGAAAGAAATACCATGCATAATAGAAT